CGCCTCATCGTAATGCAGTCGGCATAACCGGCTGCCGCAGGGCAGACCAAGCCTCTTGCATGTCGGCACGTCGATTTCTATCACTTTATCATGTCGACACCCCCATGATAACCGTGTCCTTCCCCGCATAGAGCAGAGTCGCTCCATGTCTCAGCTCGGGACCGGACTTCCGGGTTTCTGAATTTGCCGCCCCGCGAAAGGGCAGTTGGGAGAGTTACGGGGTCAATCAAATAACCGCTGGGGTTTTCCCTTCTCCGTGGCCCAGTACTCACATACAACCATGTATTTTACAATTATCCATGTAGACAAATAGATAATGAATGTAATCTGACATGAAAGTTCTGAGGAAATGTTTTATTGATTAATAACTAAGGCAAAGAACTGAATTCATTCGGCCGCGTCGCCTGGTAACTGCACCTTTAACCCTTGACCGCATGACCTCTCTACATCAGCTGAGCGTAAAACTACCTGATGACCCACACAACTCACAGTTTATCAGTTCGTCCTCTAGTTATTGCACGTTTCAGGTACTTCCATGGCTGCGTTTGGTGGAAAACAAATTGTCGTGTGCCACGCTGCATGTGCGAAAGGTGATGTTCGATTCTGAAAACATGGTATCACGCTTACCGTTGCGTATTTGGACAGCGTTGCAACAAAATTACGAGCGTTGCAAAAGATATTTTACGGACACAGGTGCTCGGAAACTGTTACACAGGGATTTATCCTTATATACGCGCATACGTCCTTAAATACGCTACGTTAGGAGGGTATGGTATTTTTTGGTGTAGATTCTTAAAAGAGGGTGGATTTTTCCATGACCTGGATCAACGAATTTATATGCTTTATTGTCAAGTAACACCATATTATTTCGGTCCTTTTCAACCAGGACCATGCACCAGGCAAGCTTGGATGATGCAATGGAGCTGGCCTGATATTGCAATAACGGCGTAAATGTGCTTTACCTGCTACTGTTGGGGCGCCCCGGGGCTCAGAACGGCACTGGGCATTCTGTAGTGCGCCTGCGCGAACTTATGTTCGAATTTCAAGCGTTCTATTCAGGCGTGGACCAGGAACGCTGGCCTTTTTTTGCTCCATGCAGATTCCTGGTCAACACTGCCATTGTCCTAGAAATAATAGACTAATAAGTTCGCGTTACAAATGAGCAGACACATGTTAATTTCTGACAACCCCATCCCCATTTGGGTTTAATTGAATCTTAAGACAATTACCAGATGGTCTGACTTGATTGCTTTTTTCAATGGTTTTGCAATTTGAAAAAAGTTTTAAAAGTCTTAAGTTTGCTTGGTACTGCTGACCTATTCATGTTCCTTGCAACAAGGGAAATTCTCACATTCATGCCTTTGGGATAAGTCTACTAGAGATAAATCTACTACACACAAACACTTCCGCCTGAACTTCACACTGAACTTCCGCCTCAGCATCCACATCAACATCCAACCTGGAGATGAGTTCAAATATATCAACATGGATCGATTGTTACAGTTATATTTTCATTACAAAAAATGCGACTCCTTTTCTTGGAAACACCTTAGCAAAGTTTCGTCCGGCACTGCAGTGTCTACGTTCATTTCAGCGTCAGAGTCACGAAAACCGTTGCACGTGATGTCACGTTGTAGTTGGTTCTGGTGTAGTTGGTGCTAGTACAGATATCGTAGCCTCTGCTGTAGATGGCGCAAAACCTATGAAAACCAATTCAAATTATAGTAGCTGGAATATACGTAACGCAGCGCTACATGTATCTTAACTGACAATTTAACGATGTGCGTTAGCGTTGCACGTACTTTCCTTTCATATGGACAATCCAGCAAAGTTCATGATGCAGACAGATGAATATGAGAAGACATTTCTTATATAACACGTAGGCATTCCAAATAGTGACATCCAACCGCTATTCCAAATAGTGACATCCAACCGCTATCCTTCGCATGAAGTGCCAGACATCCAGTCGGATTTGTAGATCTGTCCACTGGCTGAACAACTTCTGGACTTAGGATGAAGACTTCTGTGTTGCACTACTGCTGCAACAGTAGTTACACTTCTTATGTAAAGTATTTGGCTTGACCCCCTTGCATAGTCTCGTAGTGCCTGGCCGTCGATGTTTGTTTATCTCTCCCTGTCGGCGAAATGCCATCCACTTGCATTGGGGATGCGGAGAGTCATCTCAGGGCTTGAGGTGACCATTGCCTCCACAAAGCATGTGTCAAATGTTACAGGGTGTTTTGTCTGTGTTGTGCTGGTAGTGCCTGTGGTATAATATCGCATCTATCTGATCCAACTCAGACCAGGTGCACGAGCCTTTCTCGAGAGCATACATGATTGAGGCATACGTTTCATGCACTACATGCCACTCGTAATACACCGCGTCATACATGGTGTCTGCTAGTGTAGAACGTTTGTTAAAGGCAGTGTCACTGACGCGGTGCTCTGATATGAGGTTTCTGATAAATCCCGTGGCAAACATAGATAAGTTCAGATCGTCAGTCTACAAGCCCTCATCCTGAGCTGCTGCTTCTCTGTTGCATCAAAAGTCTCATCATTATTGTTGATAGAATACTGTGTATAGAACCATGGGGTTTGAAGACACAGGGGACTGCCCACAAAATGCAACCTGTTCCCTTGCAAGAAAATTCTTGCAACACCCGAAGCGCGTTAACGTGTGAATTAGAAGTATCTAGCATATGGTTGAAAAGGAGGGCTGAAGACATGACTCTGTCCCACTGGTTGAAGTTAGATCCCCCACAGCCAGGATGCTGATACCACCAAAGCGCGTGTCAGCTGACTTCTCTTCTAAGTTATAATGTTCTAATTCTACCC